AGTTCTAGACATACGAAACATCAAGAAGACGCTCAAATAGTTCCACAAAGAACATCGGGATGTCAAAAGACCAAATACCAAGTCAAAAGAATCACGGGGAACAAATCCCGATCCAACTCCACTGTGTTCCCCGCGGGTAGACCCACGGGTAGGCCCCTACCCATGGTTCTGCCCGCGGGTACACTACCCACAAGTCTATGTACCTGCGGGTGGGCGGCGGGTAGGGCTCTCCCCTCCGTTCCGCCCGCGGGTACACATTCCTGTGCAAAATAATCCCTTCGGGGATTTTATTCTCCAAACACAAATTCAAGTCCAAAACATGCCAAATCTCACCCAATACAACAAAATGACTTGAATCATGGAAAATGCCAAGCAATGGCACAATGGAACCCTAAACACAAGCTCTAGATATGCAATATCACAAGACAAATGCATAAACCCTCACATTTCATAGCAAAACACAAGTAGAATCCAAGAAATCACATATAGGTAAGCAAAATATGTTTTGTAGAGCATGGGTTACCTCTTATAGACCAAAAGACTTCACTTTACACCACAACAAGCTCCCCACAAGGCTTACTTTCCAAACCCACTTCAAGATCAAACCAAAAGATCATAAAGATCCTACCTTTAAGAAAAAAGACAACTAAGATGGAACCAAAAACACAAGATGAACTTAGATCTTACCCTCCTAGATGCCCAAATAGGTGAAAGGTTGAATCTTGGTAGCAATTCTTGGAATCTTGACAAGGGTCTCAACATAGCTTGGAGAATAAGCTACACTTCTTTTCTAGAGAGAAGGTAGAACTAATTTCTAGGAAATGTAAGGAATGAAATGAAGAAGTCTTCTAGGTTAGATTAGAATACTAACTCTTGGTGAAAAGTCAAGGATACCCTTACTAACCCTTAGAAAGTGTAAGGAACAAAGGAACTCCCCTCAAAGCTCAAGGTACAACCCAACTTAAAGGTTGACTAGTCAAATACTAGTCCTTGAGTATTAAAAATCAGGATTTTAGGAATTAATTCCTCAAATAAAATAAGATTAATCACTCAATTAATCCATGGATTGAATGTGGATTTTTGGGGTGTCACATCCTCTCCTCCTTCAAATAAGCTTCGTCCCCGAAGCTTGGGTACGACGAATTAAAAACAAACGGTGAAAAGAACAACATTGTGACAAGAGGTTCAAGAACAAACTCTTTTGGTCAAAGACTCCAAAAGAACTCACAAGAATTCCAAAGCAAAGAAGTATTCCAACGCAAGAAAGAAGGCATTTCAAATTCAAGGATTGGCAAGAGTTTAACAAACGGACAGATTGAGCATCAGGAACTCTAGCCTCAACACAACCACCGACTTCTAGACAACAACCAAGAACTAAACTTCTAACTCCAAACACTAACTTTCAAGCTAGCTACAACAAGGCAACAAGCAAAAACAAGCAAGCACACAAAGCGAGCAACAAACGAGGAAAACGAGGTACCTTCCACAAACAACTCAGGGTACCGCTCCCGCATCGATGACTCCAGCTCCCAAGTAGCTTCCTCAACCCCATGATGTGTCCACCAAACCTTCACCATCTTAACGGATTTCCTACGTGTGTCCCGAGTCTTGAAGTCCAAAATTCTGAGCGGCCTTTCTTCGTAAGACAAATCTTCATCTATCGGTATTACTTCTGGTGGTAAAACATGAGCCGGGTCGTGAACATATCTCTTGAGTTGCGATATGTGGAACACGTTATGCACCCTTTCCAACTTCATAGGCAACGCCAAACGGTAAGCCAAACTCCCAACCCTCTCCAGGATTTCATATGGGCCTATAAACCTAGGGTTCAACTTCCCTTTCTTTCCAAACCGCATTACTCCCCGGGTAGGAGATACTTTCAACCAAACTTTATCCCCAACCGAGAACTCCACTTGCCTCCTAACCAAATCAGCATAGGACTTTTGACGATTTTGAGCCGCTTTCATCCTTTCCTGAATCTGTTTAACTTTCTCGGATGTGTCAAGCAAGTATTGAGGTCCCAACACTATCGGATTGACAAGATCCTCCCAACATAGTGGGCTGTGACACTTCTGTCCATAGAGAGCTTCATAGGGTGCCATGCGAATGCTCGAATGATAACTATTGTTGTAAGAAAACTCGATCAAATCCAAATGGTCCTCCCAAGACCCTTGAAAATCTAGCATACAAGATCTCAACATATCTTCGATAGTCTGTATAGTCCTCTCCGTTTGCCCATCGGTGGCTGGGTGGAAAGCAGTACTGAGACTTAGTTTGGTTCCAAGAGCTGCTTGCAAGGATTTCCAAAATTGGGACAAGAACCTTGGGTCCCTATCGGAGACAATATCCCTCGGAACTCCATGATACTTTACCACTTTGTTGACATAAGCTTGAGCCAACTGCGTCATTGTCCAAGTCTCCTTCATTGCGATAAGGCGGGCAGTCTTAGTCAAACGATCAACTATCACCCAGATTTTGTCCTTACCCGAACGGGTTGTCGGCAGACCTCCCACGAAATCCATTGATATAGAATCCCACTTTCCTTGTGGAACTTCTAATGGTTGTACCAACCCCTTTACCTTACAACGTTCCGCTTTTACCTTTTGGCAGTTAAGGCATTTCCCAACAAACTCTGCAACTTCCTTCTTCATATTAGGCCACCAGAAGAAGCCCTTCACGTCTTTGTATAATTTGTCTCCTCCGGGGTGGACCGAATAGGGTGTATTATAACCCTCTTCCAAAATCCATCGCTTCCACTGATCACATGACGCGGGTATGTATAAACGGCCTTTGTACCTCAACACCCCATCCGTAGATAACTCAAACGGTCCCCCTTTCCCTTTAGCTAGGTCATCCCTTACCTTCGTCAATATGCATCCTTTTGCTGCTCTTCCTTAATTTCTCCCAGAAACGTAGGTACAATCCTTAAGTTATAGCAACGAACTTCTGCCTCAACATCTCCCTGTTCCACCACTTCCAAGTTCATCCGTTGGAACTCCTTACAAAGTTCATCCGCCACTACCCAAATAGAACTGGCGGTATGCTTCGATTTCCGACTTAAGGCGTCCGCCACTACATTAGCTTTTCCTTCATGATACTGAATATCCAACTCATAGTCCTTGATGAGCTCCAACCACCTTCGTTGTCGCATGTTGAGATCCTTTTGGGTGAAGATATATTTGAGACTCTTGTGATCCGTGAAGATCTTGCAACGCACCCCATATAGGTAATGTCTCCAAATCTTCAGAGTAAACACTACGACGGCCAATTCCAAATCGTGTGTAGGGTAATTCTCTTCGTGAACTTTAAGCTGGCGTGAGGCGTAAGCAATCACTCTCCCATTTTGCATCAACACACAACCTAGTCCTTTCTTGGACGCATCACTGTATACCTCAAACCCTTCCGTTCCTGATGGCAATATTAAGACTGGTGCAATCGTGAGCCTCTCCTTCAAATCTCGAAATGCTAACTCACAAGCTTAATCCCAAACTGTAGCACCCCCATTTTCAATACTAAATTTTCCTTAATTTTTAATTCTTTTTTAATTGCAAATTTACAAAATCATAGCGGAAGCATTAACTAACCAAAAGAAAATGGGTGTTACCGCCACGCTCAGGTATTTCCCTATACCCAAACGCTAAGGCTAAGATTTACAACATCAAATAAACTCAACCCAAATCCAACTTCTATAATACAAGAAAGGATAATACTATACAACCATAAAGCTTCTCAAGTAATAAATCTCCAATAGGTCTATTCTTAATTCCTTCTCAACTTGAATTCATCTTGAACCCCTTTATCCATTTTCACCTGTAAAAATAATTTGCAACAAAATAGGGTGTAGACAAAAATTAGCATAAGGTAAGTAAGTTTCACTTCACCCCGTAAAATATAGGCTTGGATTTTATATTTTCAAAACTCATATAATTTTGATACTTTTCCAAAATACATCTGGACTAAAACCTATGTGCACACCCCCAGAGGATTCCAAGCCACTGGGTAGTATATGATCCAAGTAGTCAGGTTTTCCTACCTACTAACACTTCAGCAATTTGGAAACTGGATCATAACCTAAGTGATACACCCTCATGGGATTCCATGCCCAATGAGTAGTAATTAGTCCAAGTGGACAGTACTCACATTTACTGAACACCACACTGTACATTATTTTCTCAAAATTTCATTATTTCTCCACCAGATAAATACTTTTCTCCAAAAATAAATTCTTCCTTTTTACAAGATATACTTTTCTCCAAAATATACAATTTCTCTATAATACATTTTTCTCAAAATATATTTTCTCCACATGGTTTTTTCAAAATATAATCATAGTACATAATCCAGTGGTAACACAATTTTAACCATACATCACACCAAAAATTTACCAAGCCAAGTTTTCATACACACATGGGCTTGACACGTCGAAGCCCATTCTCGATAGCTCGAGAATTACCCCACACATTATTACAATGCACTTGTGATCACATGAACATTATAACTCATACCATACAACATATAATTCGCATAAATAGATTTCTAGAACAAATAACTTTAGTATATATAGTCATAGATATCATATTCATCATATTCACATTCACTCAATATATAATATTTTCGGAAAAAAAGTAATTTTGATGAACATGAAATCTTACCCTTGAAGCTCAAAATTTCTAACAACACTTCATTACTTCTAACCACCTCGATAAGGAACCTGTGAACCAAACAAACCTAATATAATTTATTTTTATTATTATATACGTCGGACTAAATAATTCCCATCAATATATAATCTTTCTATATATTAAAGCTATAAGATTTCGGCCAATGAAATAGCTCCATTTTCCCGCTCAAACTATACTACGCCGTTTTGGACTATACAATATTGCGCACAAAGAATTCGGATTAGCTTTATCTATATATTAAAGCTATAAGATTTCGGCCAATGAAATAGCTCCATTTTCCCGCTCAAACTATACTACGCCATTTTGGACTATACAATATTGCGCTCAAAGAATTCGGATTAGCTTTATCTTTAAAATAAATGTGTTTGTATTTGAATTAAATACTACATCTATTATCAACCACCTTTTTCGTTTCCCAAATTTGTGGGAAGTTGTTCCGCCATTTGCATTAATAAATACATCACTGTAAATTCAAATTAATCTTGGATGTTGAACCGTTTTGTGCAGCCTTCATAATTCCAAGAAAGTCTTCAATTTTGAAAGACACTATTCAGCATCTATATAAACCTCTTGATAGCAATCTGCACTCCCAAATTCATCATCTATCCAGTTCAAACCACCTGCAAATACACAAAGCAACAATAAAAAATCTGGTCGAAAATAACATGCCATCGCAGTACATATCTGTTAAAGATATTGGCCCACAACATACTGACTCTGATTTGGTATGTTATTTCTTTGTTTTTGTTTTTCTTTTCGATTTAGCATGTTTATCCAGTTAGTTCACTGCAATGCAGGAACTCTGAATAGATGGGAAGGAAGCAACAACCATCGGGTTTGATGAATTCTTATTGCATGAGAGGAGGTAAATTCAATCTTTATTTTCTTTTTCTATCCACTATAACTGTTTTATTTCCAGATTATGGTTTTGATTAGATGTTAGAGATGGATCAAACTGGTGGAGGAAACAAATTATTATGGTATATTAAATAGGACACATTCTAACAACATGAGGTACATTATTTTTTTCTTGCAAATATATATATATATATATATATATATATATATATATATATATATATATATATATATATATATATATGATTGTGAAATTACCAAAATTTTCAAATAGTGGTGCAGGATGCAGGATGGCTGAAGAGAGTGTTGCAAAAGAACCTTAGCAAGTGAGTGATTTTTTAAAATTGAAATATATATATATATATATATATATATATATATATATATACATATTTGTGTATATATATATACTGTTTGTATAAAATAAACTTTTGCAAAAAGAGCCATTCCAATCAAAGTGATGGTTCAAATGGGTGGAGCAAACAAATTATTATGGAATATTAAACAGGTGAACACATTCTAACAACATGAGGTACATTATTTTTTTCTTGCAAAATATATATATCTGATTGTGAAATTACCAATATTTTCAAATATTGTGTGCAGGATGCAGGCTGGCTGAAGAGAGTGTTGGAAAAGAACCTTGGCAAGTGAGTGATTTTTGGGCTGAATGGGTGAAGATTGGTTGTAGGATTCAGGTGCTTATTCAACCATCATATCAATCTTAATCCATCATATATTGCAAAAAAAAACTCATGTGAATTACCTGAGTACTAAAGAAGGGTCTCTTGAAAAGAAAGGTTAAGACTACAACCTTGCCATATTGCTCCCCAAATATATCCAGGTATATTTGAAGCTTTGGTTTACTTGGCTCAGCTTCTTCAGTCAACTGCTTAGTCCGGCTCAGTGTTGACTCTTTCTGTGTCTTCTTGCCCTAAATTTCAATTTGAATAAGAAAGATCAATACATTGATTGCTATTTCTATTCCTCCTTCCAAAGTAAATAACGAAATAAATAGCAATTTCTTTACAAAATTAAAAGTCTCTAAGGTAAAGCATGTAATTAATTACAATACAGAGTAGAAACAGGAACTGCAAGCGGAAAGTAAGATGTAAGCATTAACTTTGACATAAAATTTGGCAAAATTTGGCTAATGTTGACTTCAACATGGTCGTGAGAAAACACTGTAGTCGATACAACACAACTTGAAAGTTTTTACAAAATAAAATTCTGTACACCACAATAATTTTTTGAAACCACGGGTATTATTATATAAATGAGCCTCTAGATTTTATAGTGAAGAATTTTAAGACAATATTGTGTGCAGATGTAGAATTTTAAGACAATATACATCAACACTGCTGCATATAACAACATAACTTTATATCTTATCCTAGAAACAAATGAAAGTGGGATTAATAATTCTAACCAGGGCAAATGTAGAAGGAGATCTGTCTGTTTAATAGATAAAAAAGTTATCTATCAAAGGTTAGTAGCCTTCTTTACATGTTCACATTGTATTTTCAACTATATCTATCAAGGTTGGATTGAAGAATAAAGTCATTGATTTCCAAGTATGATATATATCAATGTAATTCAATCATCATTAGGAAAAAGAATCAATCTTTAAAAGAATTATCAGGTAAAGAGTACATTATGCATTAAATGTATTCAGAATAGTACAGTTTTCCACAGTTTATCATCAATTCAACCTTTTGCAGTCTTAAAACTTCAGGGATCAGACACCTCCACATTCTGCAAACTCATAGATTCAGATCAGTCATTAGGTTTCCTTTCCCATTGTGAGATCAACCACTAGGCAACAACCATCCTCCACTTACAAAGATTTGTGTGGTGCTGCGAATCTGAGCCTATTCAATCCTTTAAAACTTAGATCCCACCAAATTTTCAAGTCCAGAGACTAAAGATGCCCTTATTTCCCCATTCTAAGATCCCACAAAGCTAGGTGGGCCTCCTTATTCATCATTTTCCATACAAGAGATAGCAAATGCAACTAAAAAATTGGCAACTAAATAACTATAAAAACTGATTATAAATAAATTAATAAAAAGTAAGGTAAAAAAATGGCTGATAATGAGCAAACAGTTTTTAAAATAGTTTTTTTTTTTTAATTGAGTTTGAGCAAACACTATAAAAACGATGTATGAACACAAAAGTATATTTAAAAAAATGTAAATAATTATTAGAAAGTCTAGAAAAAAAATTGATTAATGTCTAGCAACAAAACAGAATTTATACAGCAGTTTTATCAGTTGCATGTTAAATATTTAGTGCAAAAACCCTAATCTCATAGTTATATCAAAACCCTAATTCACATAAATAATCATAGGATGAAATAATCTTCCAGTTTAGACAAAATCTTAAAGAGGAATGCAAATACATAAACAAATATACATTACAAGGTATGAAATAACTAAAGGAATAGGATACTTAGCTTTGTACATCCTTGGACTGATTTGTATTCTATTAACATCTACATCATGTGAAATTAGCTGCCACGATGGTAATTAGTATATGATGCACATTATTGTCTAAGCAATTTCTTATGCAAGGCATTTCGTCAAACAGTTCCTGCCAATAAATATAAAAAAACAATGATAAATAAATTATTGAGTGCTTATGTCATGATTTCTTTACTACCAGAAACTTGATGAGATATGTAGAGCTAAGCATTAGTTTACTGCATATAAATTCCGCATCAATCGAGTAAACCCAATGCAAGAAAGTTTTACCGAGAATGTGTTCACCGGCGTTGAACTGCGCACCACCTCCGGGAGCTCTTTTAACATCTACATCATGTGAAATTAGTGCCAGGTTGTAAACGAAGATAACGTACTTGAATTTCCAGATCTGTTGTTTTAAAGCACACAAAAAAATCCCCTCGCCATGAAGATTAACCTAGATTTAGGATATAAACAACAGCTCGGGTTTACCGTCGCGATTGCGTCTACAAAAAACCATATTTTACCTACCATTTCACCAAAAACGGAAATTACAGACTTAGAAATTAGGGTAGAAGACCGCGATTCGGACAAGTCTAGAGAGAAAGGGAGAAGGGAAAAGAGAAGTCGAACATTCGGTATCTGCAGAGAATGAATATGGTTAGAATGGTTTTAATATTTCTTTTTTTTTTTTGGGTCGGGTTTTGGGCCATTTTTTGTTTTAATTTTGGGTCATAATTTGTTTTATTATTTTAACTATTGGGCCTACCATAAATGTAATCTGTATATATATATATATATATATATATATATATATATATATACTTATTATATAATTATATAATTTTTATAATATCATATTTATTATTTATATCATATCTAATTGTTTTTTGAAAAGATCGATTTTTAGTCATGGTCAAATGTTTGTAAATGTGACATTTGGGTGTAAACATTTTTGAAGACTACTGGCTCTATTACAATGTAGTATCTTTTCATATACTTTCTCAATACTGAAACACAGAGAACCAATAGAGCCGTTAGCATTCAAAAAAAATATTAATTCTTATTTTAATTGCAAATAGTTATGTTCACAATTTTATCATAGCAAATCAACATAATTATATTAAATAAACAAAATTTTATAAATGGATAAATCTCATATTTTCTTTGTATATATAAAAATTAATAACATTAATAGTTTTTAATAAAATAGCATAAATTATATTTATATAATTTAGAATTTATGTAATTATTCCATATAATTGAACGAAATATTTTTTGCATTAAATTTTGAGAATAATTGTCATTAACACTATAACGTTATGCTAGCAAAAAATCAAACACTTTACTCAAATTTTTAAACTTAAGTAGATGGTGTTCAATACAATTCATTTAGAAATGCATGTTATGCACGTGGATTAATCGAAGATGATAAAGAGTATGTTGATGCAATCACTGAGGCAGCAACTTGGTCTTTAGCCCATTCGCTACGTAAGTTGTTTGTTACACTTTTGACATCCAATTCAATGTCCAAGCCAGAAAATGTTTGGGAGATGGTTTGGCAATACTTATCAGATGATGCTCAATATATTTCTAGAAGGAACCTCTCAGTCTCAGGTAACATTTATTGTTATATTATTAATTATTCATATCCATTTTTTAAAGCATTACATCTTACGTTTTTTTATTCTTATTTTGTAGATTTAAGTCTAAATGAATCTAAAAAAAAATAATAAAAAATTGTGTGTCTTGAAATGGAGAAGTTGTTGAATGCTTGGAACAAATCTCTATCATATTATCCACCTATGCCAAAGCCAGATGAAAACAACGATTGGTTTTCTGGTAACAGGTTGTTGTTCGAGGAGATGTCATATGATAGGGAAGCTCTATTGCATCAACATAATTCGTTGCATCCGAAACTAACCGATGAACAGTTAGTCATATACAATAAGGTGATGGTAGATGTTGAAACTGAGAAAGGTGGAATGTATTTCGTTTATGGTTATGGTGGGACAGGAAAAACATTTTTGTGGAAGACAATTTCAGCAGCTGTACGGTCCAAGGGCGAGATAGTTCTAAATGTAGCATCAAGCGGTATAGCTTCATTGCTGCTACCTGGTGGTAGGACTGCACACTCCAGGTTTGCTATACCAATTGCTGTTAATGAAGATTCCACTTGCAACATCAAGCAAGGCAGTCCACTTGCTGAATGATAATCAAATGCAAACTAATAATTTGGGATGAAGCTCCGATGATGCACAAACATTGTTTTGAAGCATTGGACCGAACAATGAGAGATTTAATGCGTTTCAAGAATTCAAGGAGCTCAACAATGACATTTGGCGGGAAAATAGTGGTGTTGGGTGGAGACTTTACAAATTCTACCCGTTATTCCAAAAGGTACTAGACAAGATATAGTGCAAGCCAGTATAAATTCATCTTACCTGTGGAATAATTGTGAAGTTCTTCGTCTAACCAAGAATTTAAGATTGCGAGGTCTTACTAATGAAGACGATGTTGAGAAGTTAGATAGTTTTGCCAAATGGATTGCGGATTTAGGTGATGGTAATCTTGGTGAAGACAATGGTGTTGATTGCAATATAATGATACCGTCTTCAATTGTATTAGAAAATGAGGTTGATCCTATTAGACAAATTGTTGAAAGCACATTCCCTGAATACCGTTCTGGGAACATGGATGAAAGACAACTGGATAATAGAGCTATATTAGCTCCAACGTTAGATGTTGTTGATGAGGTCAATGAATACATGAATGGTATTAATCAAGCTGCTTCAATGACATACTTGACTTGTGATTCTGTTTGCAAGGCGTAGACAAACTTTGATATGCAATCTCAAGTACACACAACAGAATTTTTAAATAGCTTGAGGTGTTCAGGTGTACCAAACCACTCTTTAACGCTGAAAGTTGGAACTCCAGTTATGCTGTTGAGAAATATAGATCACTCGATGGGATTGTGCAATGGTACAATGTTAATAGTAACACAATTGGGAAATCATGTTATTGAGGGAAAAATCATAGCTGGCAATAACGCAGGTACAAAGGTTTTGATACCAAGACTATCTTTGACTCCTTCAGACCCAAGACTTCCATTCAAGTTTCAAAGAAAGCAGTTCCCACTTATGTTATCATATGCAATGACAATCAACAAAAGTCAAGGTCAGACGCTTTCACATGTTGGTTTGTTACTGAAAAAACCTGTTTTTAATCATGGCCAATTGTATGTTGCAGTTTCTCGGGTCAGTAATCCAGATGGTCTTAAGGTCTTAATATGTGGGGAGTCTAGAGGCCTTTTAAATAAGACTCAAAATGTAGTTTATAAAGAAATCTTTAATAATTTGTAATTGTTGTTTCATTATTTTACAATAAAATATTTTATTTTGTGTATTTGTAACGTCTATAACCTTATTGACCATATATCATGAATAAAACAATTTTTAATATATTTCGGCATAATAACATGATCGTGCATCGCACGAGTGCAACTACTAGTGCATGATTAAACCACTAATCATAGTTATCATCATCTGCTAATCAACATCCCCATCATACTAATATTATTATTATTGTTATAATCCTTACCAAACATTATCCTCTTCATCTGTCCATCAACAATCTATCTTTATCTCATCAATTTTCATCAATTTCCACCATTCTGCCGAAACAAGCTTCGTCAACAATTAACAACATCAACATCTCTTCATCATCTAATCCTTATTATAATATTACTCTATTAAAAACTCACCATCATATACACGCTGCTGCTTAAGAAATTCTGCCCAGAAATTTGTTGCGATTCACCCAAGAATTCAAAGCTACCACGGCCGAAATTAATTGTTACCGGCAGGAAAAGTTTGGGCTGGAAAATGGTGTCGTTCGGAGTATTTTTGCGGAGACAGAGAGAAGAAGAGAGAGATAGTTCACTAGGTTCACTAGATATAGATATAAGGAGAGGATTAGGAATAGCATGGCGTATTAGTAATGGATTAGAATGCTAATGATAATTAAGATAATAATTATTATTATGACTAAAATAATAATAATAGTTATTATTATAATTAGGAATGATTAAGAGTAGTATTAGGAACGTAATTATGGTGATAATAAGGAAAAACGTGTAGTTTATTTAGATACATAAATATATATATATATATATATATATATATATATATATATATATATAAGATAAGGAAAAATATTGGCGGAGAAATAATAATATGGATTTAGGATGATAACGTACTTAGAGCCCAAGAAATAAAATAAAATTAGGTAAGAAGGATAGGAGAATTTAATAAAACTAACTCTGTATGCACATACAATCCTCGTATAGTGCTCAGAAATTATGGGGTATTACATTCTACCCCCTTAAAAGATGTTTCGTCCTCGAAACATAACCACTTGGTTCTCAAACAAAAATTTCAAGCCAAAAGGTTTACTAAAGGTTCATACCACTTCGGAACTCCAATCCCTATATTCCAACTAGTCACCTTAATCTCCTATATATATTCCATAACCTAAGTTCTTATCCAAAATTCACAACTTAGGTTTCCTATATCCCAAAAGTTCGACTGCTCTGATACCAACTTGTAACACCCCCATTTTCAATACTAAATTTCCCTTAGTTTTTATTTCTTTCTTAATTGCAAATTTACAAATCATAGCGGAAGCATTAACTAACTAAAAGAAAATAGGTGTTACCGCCACGCTCAGGTATTTTCCTATACCCAAATGCTAAGGCTACGATTTACAACATCAAATAAACTCAACCCAAATCCAACTTCTATAATACAAGAAAGGATAATATTATACAACCATAAATCTTCTCAAATAATAAATCTCCAATAGGTCTATTCTTAATTCCTTCTCAACTTGAATTCATCTTGAACCCCTTTATCCATTTTCACCTGTAAAAATAATTTGCAACAAAATAGGGTGTAGACAAAAATTAACATAAGCTAAGTAAGTTTCACTTCACCCCGTAAAATATAGGCTTGGATTTTATATTTTCAAAACTCATATAATTTTGATACTTTTCCAAAATACATGTGGAGTTATACTTTTCCTTATATAGAGAATTGATATTTATAAATGGAAAATTAACAAACCTCGTCGAAATTCACTCAGAATCTGGACTAAAACCTATGTGCACACCCCCAGAGGATTCCAAGCCACTGGGTAGTATATGATCCAAGTAGTCAGGTTTTCCTACCTACTAACACTTAAGCAATTGGGAAACTGGATCATAACCTAAGTGATACACCCTCATGGGATTCCAATGACACTGAAGGGTAGAAACGAAAGAGTGAAGTGCAACAGTTCTTGTCGAAGCAGAATTGAGAAAAGAGAAAAGTCGAATTGGTGATGAAGGAGAAACAAATGATCGATTATCTAGGTTTTGGTTTCTTTGTTTTCTTTCGGCAGAATACTTATATACAGATATAATAACCTAGGCTTATGTATTTGGCTCAAGTAGAAATTGTATATCAATTAGGCATAAGCGCTGACATATGCATATTATATTTATATATTATTGTTTAGGTACATATCTCTACGTAAATATAGATAAATATTTAGGCAAAATATATATTAGTTTAAGAAATAGTTATTATATTAAGGTTAT